TTTCTTTCTTACTTTTTATTTTTTATGTCAATGACCTTTTGGTGAAGAGAACTCACATCCAATTGGATTTAGAAGCACATGTTCAATTTTGTCAAAAAGACCAATAATTTGGCAAAAACACAAGAAACAAGATTTAAGAAAAAAAAAAAAAAACCAAGACCAGAAGAAAAAGTAAGGTAACAGTGATGATTCTCATTGTATTAATTGTTATCAAGCAAAAACATAAATTTTGAATGCAAATATGAATATATAAACATTCCATTGAAAAATAACTAAAATTGTGTTTGGACAAGGTAATTAAAATTTTTAAACTTTTAAATTATATCATTTAAATTTTTATCATTTTAATATATTTTGTTTGAATAAATTAATTAAATTTTGTTTATTTATACTTTTCTGTATTTTAAAATCTTTGTTTGAATAAAATAATTAAATTTCATTCATTTAAAATTTATATTTTTAAACTTTTTATTTAGAAAAATTAATTAAATTACTTTTCTTCATAAAATTACAAAGCTTATAAATAATTAAAAATAAATTTCTTTATCAAACTAAGTAACTTTTTAAAATGGTTGAAGAGTTAATTACAAGACGAAGGAAAGAAAACTTTGTTGACTTTTGTTGGTTTTGCTGTAGTTATTTGTTTTAAAGAGATAACGAAAGAATGAGTTTGAGAAAGATAGAGGAATGCAAGAACCTTAGATAACAAGAAGAGACCGCAAGACAAAGAAACAAGGAGATAAAAATTCCATGAGAGATAGAATAAACGAGTCCAACAATTTCAAAATTCTTACTATTTTAATGGAATTATAATTTCCCTATTTCTGGTTTATTAAAATTCTTCTTAAAAATTTATCATCCAAACAAAAAATTATAATACATTAAATTTTAAATTCTTATAAAAATCAGATTACTAACTTCAAATATCTCGTCCAAATAATTTATATAAACTACAAATACAATGTGTAAGGCTATTTAGAAAAATCTTATAATTGAAGTAAACAAATTTATGGTTTATCTTAAAAAAAATGTCCAGTATTTTTTTATGTATATGTTTTTATTTCTTTTAAGTGCAAATAATTGTGCTAATTAGAAATAAGTTGTCCTAATAACTGTTGTAATTAGAAGATCCACTTTTTAATATTGAATTAATACATTTATCGAAATTTGTAGTCATACGACTCCATCAATACTTACTTTCATATGCTAAAACTCATGCTCCTGTATTCACTCTTAATAAATATTAAATTCACTTTCAATTCTTCTGTAATATGGAGAAACACAAAACCAACAATATAAGCATTGAATGTTATATTGTATTCATATATTTGTTAATTTTTACATACATAAATAATGTTAATTATCCATTGCAAACAACAAGTTTATAAAGTAAGGAGTCTTGAATTTTTATAAGAAATTTGTAGTAATGTACATGATCCAATACATGTAAAATGTTCTTAGAGGTTTCCATTGTCCATTACTTCTTTCTATTGTTGCATTAATTTATTAGTGACAATAAGAAATAATGTCAACACTATCTTTAGTAATGACGTGTTTGTGTAAATTATTAAAGAAAAAATGTTAAGCATCTGTCATTTTACCCTCAACAATAATAAAAATAATTGACAACATATTCTGATTTTTATTTTATGCAACTACCACCAATATAACTCTCTTGTTTTTTGTATATAAGTGTGTCTCATCAATCTGCATAAGTGGCTTGTAATTATCATTGCTGAACAAAGTCACACATTGCTACACACCATTGTGATAAAGCATTAAATGAGGCTTCTCACTCTCCAAATACTTTTTTAATTACCTTTTGCTTTATCAACCATGTTTTTTGATACATTTTTGTGTATCCAAATTGAGACTGAATCTCTCTAATCACTAGTTTATTTTAAAAAAAGGATTAAATTCTATCATTAGCATTGTATATTTTACAATTGTGTCTGCATATAAATTTTTATGATACTTAGAAATCCTTGTAAAATGTATACCTTATTGTTTGTATTTATTAAAATAACATACAACTTAATGGTTAGAGTTTGAGTACTCTAGAAATTTAGAAGCATGCATAACGTCAAGATCTAAAACAAGAATGAATAGTGGCTCCCCAAATAGATATTGCCCAACCAAATAAGGCTTCTCATCATTTACATTATCATCAAAATCGTCATCTTCTTTCCTTATCATTTCCATATTCTCCTTCAAGAGTAGTTGTTATCACTTTTGGTGTTATTTATTCTCATTCTATCTCTTTGTCTAGAATGGTGCTCACATATGTTTTTGTACCTCATCATTTTTTAAAATAACATATAATTCAATGACAAAAGTTGAGTGATGACGTTACTGTTATATCTAAAATATTTATTAAACATCATCTTTAGTTATTGAGATTATATGATATTGCATGAAATTGCTAAACATTAAGATTAGACACTGATACATAATACTTTTTATTATTTTTGAAAACTAAACTTCAATATATTAACTAAATAAAACTGAAGAAAACTTTTACTTGTGATTTGTTATTCATATAGTCTTAGTTTTAGGCAATTAAAACAAGTTAATGACGATTTTATATTGGATAGGATTTTTTTTTAATAATTTAATAAAGTCAAAAATTGCATTTGATTGTCAATTTTTTTTAAAATCACCAATGTCATTTTTTAATTAATTTTTACTTTACTCTTTTTTAAGGTAATATTTAGAAAGGAGAAAAATTAATTTTATGCATTTAAAATTATCAAAGACCAAATTTTAATTATAACTAATTACCTAACAATAAAAATTTCCATTAATGTTTCTTTTTTTAAAGAAACTATATTTATGTAATTTTATATTAAAAAAATCATATTTTAGTAAATTTAAAATAAAAAATCATAATAAAAAAAGAGCCCGACAGTATTATCTATTATATTATTTTAATGTATATAAAAATATAATAAGATAAGAGTTTATTATATCTTTATCATATTTCATATTTATTCAACTTTTTATTATATTATTTTATATTTTATCATGTTCAGCAAACATACTTTAAAATACTATTTTTTTAACTTTTGCATTTGATAATTATAATCAAAATTTATAGTTATAATTGGAGAAGGGATAGTACATTAAATTTATTTTAATTTTACTTTATTTAATTCAAAAATTTAGAAAAAAGAAAGTAAATAAAAGAATCTAAAAGCATGTTTCATTACATTTTCAAAAACTGTTTTTTTTAAACAAAATATAGTACAAATTTGTACTGTATTCTATTTTTAAAAATAGAAAATAATTTTTAAAAATGTAATCAAATAAGCTCTAAATCTTTTTTTTTTTTATCTTCACTTTATAGAAAATTAACTAGGAACAAGTGGTTTAATTCACTATATTACTCTTGAAATCTTATGTAAACTTTTATTCTTTCTATTAAAGTTTGTACATATTATTGATATTTTTTGTCTTCTTTGTTGTCCCTTCTTTGAACCAAATGCACTTTATTTTTTTTTATAAAGATAAAAACCATTAGTCTCTAGTCATTGATGTGGATGCCTGGAGTTCAACCAGAACCAGAAAAAATTCAATGTGTGTTTAATTTCTTGTTAACATAAATTTCAAACAATGTAAATGCAAAAGCAATAACTAGTAGCTTCTTGAAGAAGGATGCTAAGCTCTTTTTTAATGAACTTCCAAATAGACTATTCAAATCTTTTCTAACTTCAAAGTTAAGAATCTCAAATACAACACAAAATACGGATACAATATGAACATGAAGATATGAACAAAAATTTAAAATGCAAGGCACGATACGGCTATAAGATGTAAAATTACTTAATAGTTAGCATAAAATAAAAATCTTAAGTGAAAATAAGAATTATTGTTTTAAAAATAAGCAATAATCTCTGTAGACAAAATGAAATGCTAAAACTTATCTAATTATTATGATGTTATGCTAAAATTCTCTTATTCTAGTGTCTAGTAATGTTTAATGCTGCATATTAGAAAGAAGGAAAAGACCGTAAGAGTCAAAACTAATTAAGAAAAATTTGAAAATAGATTTATTTATTTTTTAAAAAAAAGTTAGAAAATTAGTATGTTTAATGCTGCATATTAGGAGGAAGGCTCAATTTTTTTCTTAATTAATGTTGACTCAACCTTTTTCAACACTTCAATATATATACTAGGTTTTCTAATTTTTTATGATAACGAGCCTTATAAGAAAATTTAAGGATGACTTTTCAATATTTTATATTAAAATTTTGAGCTATATTTTTACTAGTTAAACAAAATTATTTTTTTAATAATACATGTATGTATTCATTTATATTCAAGTGTCAGTTTAAGGGTCTGAGTCGTATGAAAATGTCGATTTAGGTGTTCATACTTTTGGGGCTAAAAAAATGAGTTACTCGATCCATTGGGCTAGGTTAGATGGATAATGGGTTTTATAATGAAAAAGTCTATATGTAATTCAGTTAAAAAAAACTGCTTGAAATTGGTAATACCTATATATATAACCTACATTTAACTTGATCAAGTTAATATTATCCAAATTTAATTCCGACTCAAATTTTAAACCCAATCATTTTGCCAATTCTATCTATATATCATATAATATAGAGTATTAAAATTTATTAAAGCCCTTTTTTGACAAATAGAAACAAAAATCATATACATCCAATCACTGAAGTCCAAAATAATTGCCATTTTTGGATTTATATCAAAACCAAAATTTTCAATCCTTACTACTCAATAACTTGTTTGCGGGCCTAGGCCCCATGACAATATTATACTTCTTGAATTTGTGGAGGTCATTTAAGGTACTTAGATTATTGCTACCTATGACTCAGGGTTGGCTCTAGGTAACACTCCAAAAGTTCCCATTCTTCCTTCAATTCTATCATACTCTTGCCATCTTCACTTTCATCATAAGATTAAGAGCAATATAGGTGCTTCATGTGATGTCTATTGTTCCCACTCACATTGGATTAGAAATGGATTAAAATAGGCTAATCCTTCAGGAACAAGCATATGACTGTACAATCATCAACCTTGAAACCACATTTTTGTCTCCAAGCCTCAACAGCATGCTTGACTAACAATTTTGCTGCCATGGACCTCTTTGGTGCTGAAGCAACTATGTTTATCACTTCATTGTTTGTTAGCACACTCCATACCTGTAAGAAAGAGAAATTTGGATTTGGACCCTTAATCACATGCATGTAAAACATAATTCTTGCTTGAATTTAATTCATGTGGAAACTAAATACCAAGTTCATTGGGCCTTGATTATTTACTTTCTTGCTCTATTTGATCAAATATTTGCATGTAAGAATTGAACATTAATTTAAATGCTAACTAACAATGATTATTATGTAACTAATTATTCAAGATCCAAAATTCAAAGTTGACATTTTGATGTGAAAATACTTACCCCATCAGTAGCCAAAACCACAAATTCATCCTGCTTGGTAAGTTTTCTGCAAGACACATCAGGGACTGAGATTAGGCCATAGGTTTTTAGGCAAAAATTTCCAAAGGCTCTTGACATAGCCAATCCAGGGCTATCCTCTGTAGGCATCCACATTCTTTTTACTGCTGGATCTTCTGCTACTGCAAAAACTCTACCACCAGAATTAATGATTCTTGAAGCTTCACCTGAGTGACATTCAAGAACAAAAGCTAGTTAGACATAGACACAGGGAACGTTTGGATAGAGTTTTCAAGGAACTTATTTGAGCGTCATGAAAGTAGCTTTTGACTTCCAATAAACTTTTAACTTACTTCAATAAGCTTGTAGAGGTGCTTATCAAAATAAGTTTTTTATTTTTATAAAGACATAATTTAGGTGTAGTACCATAAGCACTTATGGTATTGTTCTTCAATTCTTCAATTAGAATTGAAGTTTTACTGAGATAAAATATAAAAAATGCCTATGTATTACACCTGACTTTTGTCCTTTTTTTTTAACTTATAAATAAGCTCTCGTGTGATAATTTTGTATCAAATAAGATAGTAAGTCAATAGTCAATATTGGAACTTGGAACTGAGATCAATAGTCAATATTAAGACCTACTTGGAATATCTGGAGTCAAGTCAACAGTAAGTTGAACAGGAACAAGATTGTTGTCATCTGATCTTGAGCAAAGAACTGCACGAGAATCGCCCAAATTTCCAACTATCAATTGGTCACCCTGAAATTTAACAAGGGAAAAAAAATGTGGTTATAACAATCTTGCACAAAAACCTGATACTAACAAGTAGGTAATGCAATTGTGAATTTCTAACTATACCTGTTTAATTATAGTTACAGCAGTGCTACCGCCACGAAAGCCATCGGTGTCGATGTTCCTAGCAAGGTCTTCGTCCATTTCCTTGAAGGAATTCAAAAAGGTTCCCTCCCATGAAGCAAAGGACATGTTTTGGTTATCCTCACAATGGCTACCTATGTTTGTAGCATTGGCATCATAGTTTTCGAGGACCTTTTGTTGTGACTGTTTGATTGATGCCGAGAGCTTTGAAGGTAGATTGTCACGTACATAGCGTGCAAACTTGTGTCCTATAGGACCATGACCATCAAACACACCACAAAATACCATGTCCTTTTTTCCAATCAAGCCCTAAAACGTATCATATCGAACATTTACTTGAATGCTACTGGTCAAAACACATTGAGAGAATTTCAATCATGAAGTTAAATGTGATTATCGACGTTAGAAACATGGAACTTTACTATCTTAAGGCTCATGCTAATAGATGGTTAATGAAGAGGAATCATAGTAGCAAAACTAGCGTTAAAACAGTAAAAGTCCAATGGTGAACACAAGCAGCTAATTAACTCTTCAACACTTAATAAATCATTTTAATATTTAACTTAAGGAAAATAATATTTTTTTATTATGAATGGCAAATTATAGGATTAAGTAAACTATGGTACAAAATACAGAGAAGCATAAAATTCATAGACTCCATATTCCACAATCCAGTTAGCAATCAATCATTAGTTTTTCCATCGTTAAAAGGCAGAGTATGGATAGTCGAGTCAAATGATGAACCGTGAAGAATAAATAGGAAGGAAAAGTCGGGAAAGCCAACTCATGTTTGCATGAACTGATAATTACTTTAAAAATTTAAAAAATCATTGTAAAGTGTACCTATAAATGAATAAATCCGTGAAGTTCAAAAACAGAAAACAGGACAATTAATGCAATCGAACAAAAACCAATAAAAAACAATCCATTATTGAGAAGAGGAAACAAGCTCAGAGAAGACTATAAATTATTTTTATAATATAATAATTTATGTTATAAATTTAACTATAAAATTTACTAGAATATGCTAAATAAACTATTTTAATAAATTATAAAAATCAACTAAAAATATATTTTTATAAATCATAATTTATTTGTTAATTTATTCATAATTTATTTCAAATAATCTCTTATTCATATAAAATAAAATAAAACAAATTGAAGGAAATGGAAAGAGAAAATGAAAGAAAATCTGAAAACATGCAGATATATGAAGAATCTTACCTCCCAAACTGTGAATGCATCTTGATTAACTCCTTTGGTACCCTTTTGGCTATACATTGATACAAACTTAGAGGATCCTCTTAACATGACCCGAGCCCCACCATGTTTACATGCAACATCATAAACATGATGCACCTTGCAATCGAACGAAATATGACAGCTGCAACAGCCCCCCATATCTTACATGCCAAACAAAAATTTCCAAAATATGAAGTGGGCCCCACAAATTTCCAAAGAATACCCAATAAATTTCCAGAGAAAACTTGTGAGAAAGTGAAGGGAAAATGGGACTTCTCAAGACCAAAGAGGTTGATAGAGGCTTTGGAAGGAAGTGGGGAAATGGTAAAATGTGCATGCAAGGAGTTGAAGGAAAGGAAAAGGTTGTGTTTTTGAGAAAAGAAGGATGATTAAACCTTGATTTTGGATACAAAATTGTTCATGCTTTTGTCTTTTATCTCTATGAGTTCAGTTTGTTCGTGTGTAGTTGTCGCGATGAGCCTATTTGGATTAAGTATCGTAATTGAGTTGGTTCAATTTTATTTTAGATTAATATTGTTATAAGCTGACTTAATACTATTTTTGTAGGTAATATTGGATTGGAAACTTACTCTGACAGGTCTATTTTGATTGTTTTTTGCATAAGGACATAAGGATAGAAGAAATGAAACGATGTGGTGCAGAAAACAAACTATATATATATATATATATATATCTTTGTATATGTCCCTTTATTATGAGGTAACATGAGATCTAAAATGAGTTTTCATTTATTCGACAATAAATGTATTTACTAACAAAATTTAAGATAATACTTCTTTTAAATATGTTAATAAAACTTTGATTTCCAATCATTTGTATGAAAAAAAATTATTAAAAGTAAAATAAAATACTTTATTGATCTTTATACATTTAAAAATGTCATGATGTAAAAAGATTAATATATCTTAAAATAATTTTTAACAAGTTAAACTGATAAATAATTAAAAAATTACGGACTTCAAATAAAAAAAAATCTAAATTTAAAGAAATCCATAATAAATTTAGATTTTTTTACATGATATTTAAAAATGTTATATGCCAAAATGTAAAAATAATGTTAAACTAAAAACTCGTTAGCTGTTTCATAATTTATTCACTACATGTAACGTTTTGGAATTATGTCTAATGCAAACATTACGCAAAATTTGGAAAGTCAGTACACTAAGTAAAATAGTAATATTCATGTAGTATCTTTTACTTAATGCAATTTTGGTGCGGAAGAATTTGATTAAATATGAATTGACGATTCTATCAGAAGAATATGAGTTTTATGATACCAAAAGATGAAGACGTAATGTATTCTTTTTTTTTTTTTTTTTTGTATTGTGGTATTTCTATGAGACCATGATATACGGTGTTTGAATAATTTAGTATCAATATATGTTTACTTGAAAATTTACATGAGACACTGTTGAGCATGTGTGGAATCCAATGTAAAAAAAAGAAATGAAAAGGAGAGTAATGATGTGATTTGCAGTAGTATAAATAATTTAGCTTTAGAATTAATATTTTCTTCCATAATAATATACTAAATATTAGTGAAATACTTTATTCTATTAAGTATTATTCTTAGAAGTGACTCACAAGACTTTTAGAAAACTCAATTGTGTATGTGAACTGGATTAATAATCTTTTGACATGTATTGTTAATTTTTTAGAGATGTAATCGATTAGAGTACTCCTTATACTTTGATTTTATCTTTAATAAAACTTAATGCTCGACAAAAAAAATATTGGCTATTTTTATATAAAATTAGTAAATTTTATAAAAAAAAATTTCAATGACAATTTTTAAATTTAAATAATTTTATATAAAAATTGCCAATAATATGTGGATAGTAACATAAATCCGCTGTAAATAAATGTTAATAACATACTCTTCAACGTAATTTATTTAACATACTCATCATTATTTATTAAAAATAAAAAATATTATATACGTTTCATTATTTTTTATTTTTAAATTAATGTATTTTTTTATATTTTTTTAATTTTTAATAAACATCATTCTAATATTGATAAGTGTGTTGCAAAGAACGTGGTAAAGAATTGTTGATAACATTATTCATCCATCATATCAGCAAAAGTTTTATTGATTTTTTCTATAGAGTAAAAATCTTCACTGTCTCAATCAGAACAAACTGTAAAATAATTTTTAAAAAATAAAAAATATTAATGAGTGCTTTAAAATATTTATTAAGAAATTTATAAGTACTAATTTACAAGAACTATTTTTTATATTGTTATATGAAAAGAGCTTTTTTATTTCCTTCGGTGGTGAGCATTCTGTATTAAGCATTTTTTTTTTCCCTCGGGAAGCTGTTTCATTTCCATTGATCCACCACTTCAAAAATCTTGAATCTTATCACAATAACTAAATGAGATTTCATGCATAGCTTCATCTATAGATTTTTTAATTTTTAAGGGAAAGAAAGCCCATGTTATAAGAATGGTAATCTTTGTTGAATCATGAGGAAAAGTACTGTCGTAACATGTTAAGATAATTTGCAAATTAATTTCATTCAATTATTACATCATTTTTAACTATAATTTTACTTAAAAAATTTAACTAGTTATATTATTTACGTAAGATAAAGCCCAATTTATGCACTTTAGACTAAAATTTCGAATATGCAAACTATAACCCAATCACAATCAGACCATGCTAGTGAGGATACAAATGCTTAATTGGTGTCATGTTAGCTCTTAAAAATCTAACACTGCAATGGAGGAGGTCTCCCAAAACTGAATCACAACAATTTTAATGAGAAAAAGTAAAAAATATAGTGGTCTGTGTTAAGAGAGATGTGCATAATTTCCAAATTCAAACATCTAAGTTTAATAAAATTTATTATATATTTTTCATAAGATTATTACTCCGATTCAACTATATATGGTACGTGAAAAAAGAAGAAGAAAGATATAGTATCTTTTCAAGAGGAGCATGAACGATTATCTTAAGCATGGCGAGCTCAGATCTATGATTCTATCTTAGTTTTTAAAAAAATTAATATATATATATATATATATATATATTAAAAATTAAGAGCTTTAATTTTAGAATTTATTTTTAAAATTAAAAGAATTGAAGAATTATAAACACAAAAAATTAAAACATCACTTGAAATTTTAAATTTTATCAAGGTAATGTTTTTCCAAATATAGAGAGAACTTATAAAATATTATTAATTATTCATCTACTATGATTTCAGTTGAAAGAAGATTTTTTAAAATAAAAATAAAAAAAATGATTTGTGTTCATATATATGTGTTTCATAAAAGATTAACTAATTTAATCATTTTATTAATTGAATTTTTTTTTTAAACTTGTTTATATAAATTTAATGGTTAATTATGCATAAAAAGATAAATCTTAATTTTTCAAAATATTTATTATATAATATTAAAAGTCCCTTATATAATTATGGCTTAAAAAATAACTTCAAATATGTCCAAATTTTGGATAGAGCACGACTTATCATTTGCATTTGGTCAAGCTTTTAGTGGTGAAAAAAAAAAAAAAGCACTCGTCAAGAAGATCACCCATGCATGATTTGCAAGAAAGATTGAATACTTTGATATCCTTAATTTAGATATGCACTTGCTTATGAATCTGGCTAAGGGCTGTGACAATCTTATGCAAGATTAAATATTGTTATAAACATTATGTCTATTACAACACGACACATCAGTTAGATATATAACAACATAAACATAACAAAGAGTATATAACTAACACGTCTTACTTTATCTTATGGTAAAAATTATTTTTGAAATGATATCTTTATGTTAGATAAATTATTGAGTTCAAGAATAGAGTTTAAGGAGACTTTTAAGTGCTTATTTGGAAACCTGTTAGAAGATACTGAACTTTCATTGTACACTTTCCAAGACACCAAAAATAGTTTAATTATGATGAACGGAAGTTAGAACCTGATTGGAACGTGTTTCCAAACATATCTTAATAAGTTTGACAATCATATTATACAGAAACACGTTCAATAGGAACTAATGACTTAACACCTCAACCAATTCAATGTTGTTATGATACCTCTACATAACTGGTGCATGGCTGTTTCACTCCTATGTTCACAAAGAAAAAGCATAAGCCACAAAAATAATAAGTGGGTAATATTATGCAGAAAGACAACCCTCGTTCTGATATGCCATAACCCCACAGACAAACTAGACCCGACCTGTTAAGATATGTCACTACAAGACAAGCGTAATTCCTTGCATCTGCGCCACACTCATGTCCTTTTCTTACCTTTATAAAACAACCTCATTCTTACCCTCTTTAGATATCATGTTATCTGTTTTTTATGCACAAAGCGTGTAAATATATAATTTAATTAATTTTTTTTGTGTATATAAATTTTGTTTTTGAATATAGTAATTTTAAATTATTAAATTTACATATATTTAAATAATAAAATATAATTTTATAATATTTTAAATTTTAACTAAATAATTTTTATATCAAAAAATTTTAAATAATATACCATGAAAAATTAAGAATTCATGAATTTTTTATTATATTTAAATTTTTTTATAGTTTCTTTCAAACTTAAATCACTTTAATTATCTCGCATAATTGATTTTATATTCTCTATAGTTCTAATTTTTTTTTGTCCAAACACATAAAATGCACAAGGATAAGATGTAAATAATTTATTTTAATAAATTACATTAAAAAATTATTAAAACAAGTTAAGATAAAAAAAATTAAGATATTTTTATAGGCTGTTACAAAGGGGCCATATTCGTTCCATGGTACTAATGCTGTAAAAAAAATGCTGTATTTTATCCCATTTAGATTATAAGAATATAGTTTCATGGTAACTCAATCTTCTTTTTATTTGCTAATGCATGCACTTGATATCACGTGGAATCTTGATCGCAATCAACAATGGTACAAAGAATTGAGAATTATGGTCGCCACTTCGCTTTCAATGACAATAGTAAAAATTTCATATACGATCCTTTTCTCATGCATGAAGTTTAGTCTTTTTTCAACTACCAAGTGCCTTTAATGGAGAACCCCACATAGTACAGTTAAAAGGCCCTTGAGAACCCGTCTTCCCATCTGCACCAGGAAAAGTGATGCAGAAAAAGTGGCATTGAATATTCGGATTTTGCTACAGTTTAAAACTCTGTTTGGATTAAGGTTTACTTAATAAAAGATGCATGTTTATTTTAACATTATTAATTACAACTTCTAGATTGAATTCACGTTTTTAGCGTATTTTGAAACACACAACAAGTGTCATTAAGCCGTTATACTCTCACCACAATGACTCAACACTGATCTTCATTTTACACTTTATCTGTTCTACCAAGGATTGCTTTGTTTTATACCTCTAGCAACCTGCAACCTTATAATTCTTTTAATGGGACGTGTAAATATTATGGGTAAAATTTAGACTATTGGAATTACCTGCATTAAAGAGAGATCTGAACCTGAAAGTACACTTTTATACGATCCTCTTCTAATTATCAGTAGAACTAAGAAGCAATCCTTTAAAAGGAATTTTTTTTTATGTATTTTAACACATTTTTGGAATATTTATTTTTTATCTTCTCTTTTTTTTATTACATTATTTATCACATTTTCAATTTTTATTTTTATTTTCTCAATCATTTTCACACTACTACCCTGAAAAGAGAGAATTATCTCCGAATACGTGAAGTGGCAGATTAAAAATTAAGTGTTAGTCTCAAATTTTACTTTTTTGCATGTTTCGTTGTATGTACAAAGCTCATTATTAGCTTTCCAATGCAGAGAGAAACTCATGAAGAAAACCACATTTTAACAACCACACCACATAGCTGAAAATAGATCCCACTTGTACATTGTCACATGGCTGCTCTAATTAATGATAAACTGCTTTCGCTTTACTAATTATTAACAAGCCTAGTTTCAGAAAGGCAGCCAAAAAAAAGGCTTAGCAGGATTTTAGTTCAGTCTCTTTGGTTATCATTTCCAATTGTTTTTATTCACTTCAATTTTTATGGCTGATTTTATGTTTTAAAATAATAAAAAATTTATTAAAATTTTTTTATGACATTAAAAATATAAAACTATAAGAAATATATTTTTTTAATAAACACTATTGTCCATTTATAAACATGGAAAACCCAATCCCACTTTAAGAACCTTTTGACCAAATATCCCTAATACTTTTATTACTCAGTGCTGTGGAACTAATTTAACAAGCTTACAAAAGAAACAGTCAAATTCCTCTCAGTGCTGTATCTACACAAATTAAAAAAAGAGATGTGTAACAAATACAATTGTTGTAAAGGGATGATTTTCATTTCAGTTGCAACTGTTACAAGTAAAGAAATTTAAAAAACAAAGGACTCTCTTTCTCTTCCCTATTGGCTAAAAAAAGTAAAGAAAACTGTGAGGAAACATGCAGAAGGTTGAAGGAAAACAAGAATGATACAGAGAAAATGTATAGGATTTAACCCATCATACAATCACCAATTACCACCATTGATGAACAAGAACCCCACTTTGTCTGAGAGAGGTAAAAAGCTGCAAGCATTGTTCATATGTTTTCTCATACTTAGGACTCCTCTGTCCAGGGCAACACCTCTGCCACCTATTGTAATGACACTCAAGAAAAATCTCATCCACCAAGCAGATAGCGCCAGTTTCAAACAACCTAGGAATCAAATCAAACTCAGTACCCTCCACATCCATCTTCATCACAACAAAATCATTCTTAGAAAATGTGTTCTTCAACCAGTTAGCAAAATCAAACCCTGGAATCTTCTCAATCTCACCACCAAAACCACCCTTAGATTGCAAAGGCTGAATCCTCCCCATTCCTCTGCCCTTACCTTGAACCTTCTCCCCGGGGTCACGGTTAATCTCAAACACCAAAGACTCATTCCTCACCCATGCAGCATAAGGCAACAAAGTTACCCCTTTTTTCAGCCCATATTCCTGATGAAACGTTTTATCAGCTTCAATTGCATACACATGAAAGGTCTTGTTCTGTTTCGGGTACTGTTTCCTAAACCAACTTCCAATACTAGAACCATAGCTTCTAGCTCCAACATCAACATACACATACCTATTCTTAAAGCTTATATCAACCATAGAAGGAAGGTACTTTATGTTCTTCACGTTTTTCTTTAGAGTAATCCATGGCTTCAGTGGCTCCTCTTCAATCAAACCCTCTGTATTTCTAACCAATTCTTGTTTATACCCAGGAACAGAGCATTTTCCATTGGAATAAGCATCAGAATCAGAATCTATAGTAATTCCATTACCCTCTTTCTTCACAACGATTTCTTTAATGTGAGGCATTGATGAATCAAACCCTACTATTTCATTCAATTTCACCACTCTGCAACAAAATTTGAACAAATCAACGAATGAATTGAAACTGTAAGAGTCATTGGCCTTTACATGGAACGCGGCAAACCCTTCGGGTTTGAGCGTTCGCGCAATTTCCGCGGCGAATTCCGACGGCCACGGCGATTTCTCCAGCGCACCGTCGCCGGCGAACACGAAGTCGAACGTGCTGTTCCCAAACGGAATCCGGCGAGCCTCGCCGGCTTTCACCAGCGGCCTCGCCGCCTTCTTCGAGATCCCGACGGCGTCCGCAATGCCGATCTCCTTCAGCGCGAGGACGTCGCGTCCGGTCGGCGTCTCCACGCAGAGCGACCTGGATTCCGGCGAGAGGAAGCCGCCGGCGATCAGGTCATGGAACACGGACGAGTAGAATTGCACCCCGTTGATCCAGTCCTTACTTGCGTACATCTCCGGAGCTGCCGCGTCGGAGACGGACGATACGCGGGCGGCAAGAGCCGCTGTTCCGGCGCCGGCGATGGCGAGATTCAGCGTCTCCGGTATAGAGAAGAAGCAGAAGTCGCCGACGTTGCATGACTCGCCGGCAATGGTGATGATGTAAGCGAACCGTATGATTACGATGAGAACGCCAAAGAGAAGTAACCGTACCATAACGTTCCTGAGAAAGCCAGGCTTGCCAGCGGCAGGGTCCATGGAAACCGATGGTGCACCTTTGTTTTTTACAAAAAAAAATAGAAAACAAAAATTAATTAAATTATAAAAAAAGTTGCTTTTGGGTGTGTTTTTATTTATCGGGAGCAGAAGCGAGCGGAGGTATGGTTGGCGCCAATGAGCGAAGGTGTTTTCGTGAGGGTAGGGATCTGGAAATAGAGAGAGTGGTGAAGGGCAAAACGGGAATTCATGGCTTTAGTTGATTTGAGAATAGAGGGATATTTCTATGGAATAGTAGCGAAGAAGAAGAAAACGAAGAACGAGTCCATCACTCGGTGGGTTTTGGATGCATCAGTGTGAGTCTGTTGCAGGTGATAAAAATAAGATGAACGCGGCGTGGTGCTCAGTGGTGACCGGAATAGCCGGTTAATTTACGCGGAAGAAGGAACTGCATAGATAACGATGCCGTGGGTCCACGGTTGCCCTTAATTACAACAATGCCATTTTGACTTTCTTTAAAAAAATTGTAATTTTATTAACCTATTAAAAAATACTAATTTTTATTTAAAAGTATAATATTTAATATTAATAATATATTTATTTTTTTATATTTATTTCATTAAAATTTTCTATATTAGATTAGTTTTATTTTTGAATATATAAATATAAAATCATTGAGCCGTTGATGGTTTTTGAGAAACCCTGAACTGTCAGTTTGCGGAATGGCAGCGCCAAGTGAGCATTAACGAGCAGGCAAGTGTTATTTTCACGTCCCTATACAGGTTACATGCACAGGCACATCATATCTTGTAAATTAGAATATTATTGTTTGGTCAATGCATTATTTCTTTATTTTTAAGCTGAAAAGTACCTATTTTTATACCCCCTCTTTTTTCTGAATTTTTTCAGTGTCACTAAGACGAAATGAATTTTAACTAAAATTTAGGATACTACATTTTTACTTAAATATTTTTTCTCGTTCGTATCACAATTTTTTTCTTTAATTTTATTCTTAAAAATTTATTATAATTTCTTGGTATAAATTTACAACATTTAAAGAAATACCTCATCCAGTTATATATATATATATATATATATATATAATTTATAAAAATTAATAAAAAAATTATATATTGTAAACATATGTTGCATTATGAAATTATTTACAACATTAAATAATTAATTTAATAATTTATATGTTAAATGAATGAATATATCTACTTATATAAATAATAAATGAATGATTTGTTAACATCAAATTTATAATTAAAAAAACTAAAAAAAAAATTAACAATTCATACATTTAAAAATAATAGTTGAGGATGCGTGAGCTATGAAAATAAGGTAATAATTAAACATTCTAACACACAAGTCAATATAATTTAGGTACAAAATTGTGTCCAACATCTGTATATGTGACGTATTGTATAATATTAATAATGTGTTAAGAATGTTAGATTTGTGAATTAACAGAAAAACGTTTGTGCAATGGTTAATGCTGAGGATGTGAGATATCCCTAAGGTTGTGCACAAAGTAGAATTTGTAGTCATGATCTATAGTTATCTCGGTGCACCTTTTTTTTATGACAAACCTGAGTAACAGTGGTAAAGTAGTTTAACAGGTGTTAAGTATTTGATTTTAAATTAATATTGATAATTTTTTTATAAGACCGAAAAATAGATTACATAAAAAAATTATTAACCAAATTCTTCATGACTAAATTTTAGAACTTAAGAGTAGTAACATTTTATTAGTAAAAAATATATTTATTACATTAAAATTATAAATATAATAAATATTTTTTTAAAATAAAATATTTAAACTCGATTCTCAAAACTGAAACTAACACTTTTCATAACAAAATGTGTCATTAATCAGTTTTAAGCACTAGTTAAAATTTTGAAAGTAAATTTTTTTCTTTTAAAAAATATTAATTATACTTTTTTATAACTTTTAATTTAATTTTTAACCAATGTCATAGATATTGGTTAGCAATTGCCATAAAGAAAATTAAATAGATAGTTTTTTAATTAATGCTCACAAAAAATTAATTAAGAGCATTTAATTTTTAATTAAATATTTTTATTTACTTATGAAATAGTTATTTTATTTATAATACAAGCTACTATTTTATTTATAATATTATTTCAACTGTGATGTAAATTAAATTATCTTATTTTAAATTGAATTATTTTTTAATTTGAGATTTAATTTTTATCTACATATTTCTAATTTATAATTGTATTAATTTTTTATTTTATTAATTTATATTTTTCTAATAATTTGCAATTATCATAAATTTTCTTATTTTAGTAATATAATATTTTTTATTTTTGGATTTGTTATGCTTTAATTTTGAGCCTCCTTTATAATAGGATTTTATTTGCTTTATAAATATTTTTTCTGTGAATAATTGACAGATTTTTGAATAATTCTTCATGTTTAATTTTATCATCTGTGTAAGTTAGGGGATACCGACATTTTAAAAAGTATTTCATATTTAATTAATGGAGTACCCTAATAAAAAGAAATACCTTTAAGGTTACGATTGTGTATTAATTTTCGTAACTATTTTAATTAATAATCTAAATGTACTTAAAATCATATTTTATAAAACGATTTTGTTAGTGAGTACTTTAAATTTTTAACCAAAATATATTATTTTTTAAAAGAATTTATTGTTTATAAAAAGTAAAATAAGTATTTATATACTATTTTTTATTTCTATTTATCTATCCAAAGAAATAATAATATATATTTTTATTTATCTGTCTAATAGAAACTTAAGACAATATTAATTGTTTTTTATTAATATTTTTTCCATATAAAAATTAATAAAGCATTTACATCAGTTAAATGACCTTAAAGTTGAATATAATGAATTATAAAATTCACCAAATAATTCTAACAAAATAATTAATTATTTTATTCTATAATAAATACATTTTCTTAGCTAGCGGAGGCAGAACTTTAGCTATCATCTTAAAAATTTAAAATCATCTATACCCCTCAATCCTTTTTTTCTATAGTAAATAAATAAATAATATATCAAAATCAATAAAAATTATATATATATATATATATATATATTATATTCCAGCAATATCTATAATATTAAAAGGTATTTATTAGAAAAAAAGGTAAAATTAGTTGCTTATATATTAAATGAATAAATATACTTATCTGTATTTGCGATGAATGAGTGTTTTATTAATGTAAATCTTATAAAAAATAAAAGTATAAAAAAATTAACTTTATTAACTTAGTCTGTTTTTTTTGTTGTTGTTAATTTTCACCTTAGTTTAAAACTAATTTTAAGTATTCAAAGAATAATAATTTTTATTAAAAATATTTTTATATTAAATATAAAAAGTGTAATAAATATATTTTTTCATTATATTTAACATTTTCTAAAAGGAACCTAACAAATAATCTATCTTTTTATATTTTTACAAGGCAAAAAAAAATATTATTATTGCACTTTATCCTACAATTTTAAAGCATTTCAACAGAATATTAATAAAAAAAATTATACTTTCAATTGATTAACTAGTATGACTAGCAAAATCGTTCTTATAATTAAAACAAAAAATGTTGAAATGGTTTATTAGATTTTTATTGTGGGTCAGAAAGTGTAAATAGAAACATTATTTATTATTTATTTAAAACTCAAAAAAAATAATTTTTTCCAACAGATATGTAAAGGCACATAATAAAAATTAAAGCATTATATATTTTTGTTAAAAATAATTATATATCAGAATATTTAATACACCAATAATATCAAACATTATAATTTCTAACAAAAACTTATTATTTATAAAAATAAAATTAGCATGATCAATCCTTGAGTATTCGTTTAAAAAACAGCTGGAAAGAAACTTAGGAGCAGTTTATAAGTAAGTTGGATCCATGAGCCTTGATATAAGAGCAAAGAGCTTCATGTAATATTTTCCAATCCATAGGGATGGGAGTTACTGGGAAGCTCAATCACGTTACAAGCTTTGTTATTTGTTAACTATTCCATCCCATGTTTATCACTCAGCACATGCATATTTCACCTAAACAATTAATTTAATTAAACCAACTTTCAAGATCAATCTCTCATCTCATTCTTTTTCTGCCTCGGAGATTCATTCATTAATTGCATATAAGGTCAAAACTTCATATCTTAATAATATCTTTTTTGTTACACCATTTGTTTTTCTTTCATCTCTCTACTCACTATCACACGTTGCACATTCAACCATCATTGTTATTATCATCAAAATCCAACAATATAATATGTAGGACAACACTAGATTAATCTGTTTCATTAACAGCATAAATTAATCTTGACATTATTGTATAGTTAAATCATAAAAATAATATGAAATATAAAAGTAAAATATATCATTATAAATATAATATTATGATATACAAAATATTATTATTAATATATAACCATTTAAAGAAATTATAAAATTTAAAATAATTAAAGACACCAATTTAAGTTAGAACAATCTAAAATATAGCTTAATTTATGAGTCATATTGAATTATGAAAACCCCCCACACGTTTGTTTAGGTAGTTAGCCCCTTAGTTGGGATAGTGTGGTAGTTAGAAGTTTATTGTTGTAACTATATGGTGAATAATTTTGAGTTGTAAAGTGTTCTTCTATTACTAGTTATAGTTCCATAGTTATGTTGATGCTCAATAAGATAGGTAGCAATAATTGTACTCATTTCACTATCTTTTTCATTAAATTTATTATGAGGAAGTGCTTCTATAGTCTTTCTTTCTTCTTCTGTAAAATATATGATATTTGGCTACATCAAGTGTCACTTATATCGCACATCTAAGATTTTGATAGCTCAAGCCACTGCAAATCACTGCTAACGCCAACCTTTGCTGCACACCCCATCTCTCCGTGATGGAAGAAAAAGAACAATAAGATGACAAAAATAATAATAATAAACTAAATAAATTAACGCATTTATAAGAGAATAACTTATTTAGAATATATTTAAAAGTACAGGACTAAAATAAACTAAATAAAATTTATTTTTTGATATTTATTTTTCTTCCAGTTAAAGAAGGTGTAGGGAGGAAGTAAGTGGTGGAATGGGCGGTGATTTCACGGGTTAAAGACACGCGTAAAGAGAGGGATGATTCGAGTTGGCGCAGAAAAGCAACAATATGCTGTGTCTGCGTTGCGTAGCGTACTTCATTAGCCGTTACAAAACCTTTTGTCGTCGTCGAAATTCCAACAACACCCCTATCCGCTATTCGCTATTCGCTATTCGCGTGGTCCACACGACAGGTCGTTTGGGTCTGGCTCCAGGTTGTGAACTTGTGATCC